TTTTTTAGATTTCAATATTACTTTAATAATCTATTCCTTAAATAAAATTTAAACAAATTCTAATTTGAACTACTAGATCGAATACTGTCTATAGTTTACGAGAGTAGTACACATTTAAATAAACACTTTACGGATTAAAACGCGATATATTAGTTAAACAAAACTTATTTAAAAATGATTTTTAACCTCGGCCCGACGTTTCGGCTGCTGCTGTTAAAGTGTTTTATTTAAATACTAGATCGAATTAAATATTTATGTTTGTGTTGGATAGACCATTTATCGTTTAAGGAAAAGAAAAAGAGGGGAAAGAATGTTTTGTCGTTGATGATCCAAAAAATGAATCTGCGGCAATATACGTATATCCTTTAAGATTAACTTTGACTACGTCATGGATAATAGCTATAATCTATAAAGCTATGGAAGTTGTTTGCAAAAATTAATAATGAGATGCGCAAAATAATAATTCCACGCGGGCGATGTTGCACAGCATATCATAATCACGCTTGCTTTGCAGTACATAGCGTTTAATAAAAACTGTAAGCTATATAAGCGCTCATAAAAAATTCTCACCAAAAGGAGTTCACATAAAACGTACATAGAATAGTCTCTTTAATTCCCACCCTGAGAGAAAAAAACATTAATATCTTTGGAGATTTCTTTGCAAAAGTTGTTGCTATTAAAATATAAATTATAAATATTTCCATATCAAAAAGGGTATTGGGTCGGATACAAGCGATACCTTGAATATGAGGCAAAATAAGTCTTTCATCTTGGAGTGGGGAGCGCCTTTCGAGCTTAATGCCTTTTCCAATGCTTTTGATAAAGACTTTTCTAACTAATTAAGAGGGAAAAACGCTGTTTGGAAACGCTAAGAGTCTCTTAGTTAAAGGGGTGGGCTTTTAGCTTGAATGGGCGGCGATCGAAAGATTTTATAATAATACCTGTTACATTCAATATGCGGCATTTTTAAAAATTGTTTACCTAGACATTTAGAAATCTTTACACACTTATTCCGAAAATTACAAGTTTTGTACGCTCTATGAGTTACTACATATCATAAAGGGTCCTGTTTTTAAACGGTTTTATTTAGCTCGACCCGGAATTTATTTATTTGGATCAAAATTAGAAATTATTTTTTTTAGATTAAGGCACCTTCCCGTTGTCAGATTGATCTGAAATTTGGTACACACATTTAATTTAGATGACAATATAATATAATAAAATCAATAACATTGAAAGTCTTAGAGGGCGGCCGATACAAAATGGCGGAATACATTTTTCCTTAACCCCCTCAATATGGGTATGAATTGAACTAGTAAAACACAATGATTATGTCAAAATATAAATTTTTCCCTTAATTAAATAGGCAATGGTAAATTATCAGACATATTTTACCTTATATACCTATAAGTAACAACTACTCTTTTTTTTATTATATTAAAAATTTCTAGGTGGAAATGTATATGTTGTCAGTTAGAATAAATAAAGTCGGATTTAAAATAAATTTATAATATTTCCAATTAAATCTTTTAAATCTTAAGTGTTTTATTTAAATGTGTACTAGCAGACTACAGACAATACTTAGGAATAAGTCTTCCTGTTTATAAGCTGTCGTTTGGAAAATGAAATAATATTACCTTTTTCCCACAAACGTCCTTCGGGAAAACTCAAAAACTTCACGCAAGTTATGAAACACAAAACGTTTTATTGTATACTCGTTACGATGCTATGTATCATGAAAAGTAGTTATAATTTTCGGGTGTTACGATATAAACATTGATGTTTATTGTTTTTTGTTTTAATCTATGGCTGGAGGGTGGGGCGTTGCGTGGCGATATTGATCAATCCTTGCGATATTCGAACACGAAATATTACTTTTTCCCGCTGAAGACATTCACAAAAGCGAAACGATTCAACGCGAGACTATATCTTACATTCAGAGGGTTATATATAAGTAAGTGAATTGTTTTACATTCGGCGTCGGAGCGTAAATTAATCAAAGGGTTGGGATCTTCTCGATTGTGCATTAAATTTAACAGTTTTTTAAGACGTGATCTTTTCTAAATAAATACATAGATTTATATTATAACCTGACTTTTGCCGTTGCAGTTAGTAGAACAATATATTTTTTTTTATGATAGAGGAGCACGGGCAAGCATAGGGGTCAATTGATGGGAAACGAAATACCCGAGGCATATAACATCCACACACGATGCGCTCTCGACCTATTTTGGCATTGTATTTTCTAAAATCCGTAGACTGAAACAGAAAGCCTTAAAATACGGTTTTTTCTGTGGTCGGTGGTTAGTGACTCAGGCGGAAGTTTGATATTTCTACCACCCTTTTAACATCCAGATTTCTGACGTCCAACACGTTTCCAAAGTGTACCATGTGGCATTATAAATAATAAGGGATTTTATCTATACAATAACATCCATTACAGATCATCAAAGTTGAAAGAGAATAATTATCACGAAATTGATCAACATATCGTCAATGATAATCCCCGGCCGGTCGTTAGGCTGTCGCAACGGCGTTAGTCGTATCAATGGCCCAAAGCTGCAATTACCCCGCTGACCGCAAGATAAATTATTCTTAATTGCTTATATTAATTAATTACTAGGCGTTATTAGAGCTCCAGATATCTGATTGTTGGATAGGTAATTTCTTTAATTGTTGCCCCCTTAGAAATTCAGAAAGTTAAATTAAATTCTATTTTTAGGAAATAAATTCAATGTCAAAAATACATGCAAAGCGGGGTATGGAGCTAAGTTTAAATAGCGACATATCATATCTAGTGAGAAAATAAGTTTACGGAATTAGTTTAAATAAAACACATTTAACGCTTCAAAACGCAATATATATTACTTATTTACAGCTGTGGTTAACTTACTACTGCAAAACATCCAAAATGTCAAGCCTTAGTTAAAATATATTTCGAGTTTTAAACAGTTTAAATGTTTAAGGCTCTCTGCCATTTTGTTAAAGTACTTGGGGTTTCAAGAGTTGGCCCAAAATCCAAGAAAATATTTCTGTGTGTATTTCGTTCAACCTCAAAATAATAAATTATATCTACAAGGTCGTCGAGATTAAGAAACAAAATAATCGAATCGACAAATACGCTGATATGTACATTGATATCCCAAGTTGACTGGACTATACCACCAATAAAAACCACAAACACATGTTTAACGATATAACTGGTGGTACAAATAATTTCATTAAAATCTAACAAAGTAAAAGCCGTAAAGATGCAAAACGTTGTGTGCTTATACCATGACCCGGTAATACAATTTGGACCCTTTCAGTCCAGTCCTTTCAAATATTAATTTTAAATGGCGCACAAAACAAAAACGTGTTTACCGACATCATGAATGGGATTATTCGGTCATTATGTTATAAAACCCGCCTGTCATTGTGTATCGTATGAAAATATCACCTGGATTGTTTGCGTCCAAACATCCAATGAATTATGTCAGAATTTGAAAACAATATTTGTTTGAATAAAGCACTTTAACGGTTTAAAACGCCTCATATATATATAAATATATTAGTTAAACTTATTTGAAAATTATTTTGACCCGACATTTCGGATTCTTTGTAGCTGCCGTGGTCACGGCGAGACTTGTCTCTCCGTCTAATAACTTTAACTAGTATTTGCGCCGTTAGACTATTTTATTTAAATGTATACTACTGGCGTAAACTATAGACAGTATTTAACAATATTCTTATTTCGCTATATACCAAAGTGTACATTTTTATTGTATTCTATTTGAAGAATATAAAGGTAGATTAAATGAAATCAAAATCTAAAATGTTTCGTAGAAAATTTTGTAAAACATTGAAGCAAGCGGATCTTGAAAATCAATATTATGTAATTTTGCTTCTTTTATATCTACAATATCTTGTTTTTTTATGTTTTTGCAACGAGACAATAGACATTGACATTAGGTAGAGCAACAGCACGAAACACTGACGATGCCGGTTCAAGTCCTGTCCGGGTCGAAAATTTTTTCAATTTATTTTCGATTTTTAAACGAGACATTAGTTGAATTAAAATGGAATTATATTTATGTTTAAGTACAAAGCAAAATATGTAGACATAGATGGCTTAACAATTTATAATTCATTTCTTACCCTTTCACGATCGAACCATTTTATCGATTTTGATGATATTTTGTGTTATAGAATGATTTAGGCTGTAGCCTAAATCTAGAAAATCATTTAATCCATATTGCAGTCAGTTTTTAGTTACCATTAATATGTGATTTCAGGTAGTTTAATAATTAAAATGATAATTGTTTTTGGTGACCATTTTGTTGCATTTGTGTGTGAAAAATGGTATCTTAGAGAAACTATATGCAACCTCAATATCAATAATATCTGTTCCATAAGAAAGAATAAGTTTTTACTAAGTAACAACTGCTGTACATAACATAAAAGCCTTTCCAAAAAAATCAGTTTTCCTTATATTATTGTGTCACTTTGACTGATCGATGAGGATTGCAAGTGAGTGTATAATGTTGTAAAACATGTGTTATTAATATGACGGTAAATATAGTGTATTTTTTTAACAAGATCTCTTTATTCTGTTAAATAAATACATATATTTATTTATTTTTCTTTTTTTTTTTTACGCGTAAGTACACATTTAAATAAAACACTAACCTGACCCCGACAGAACCTGTCTCCGAGGTCTCCCCACGATCACGGCTACTGTAAAGCATCCGAAACGTTAGGCCGTATTTAAATTCAAATAAGATTAATTAAGATTTATTGCATCTTAAACCGTTAAAGTGTTTTATTTAAACGAATATGACTTCTGTGCCTAATCGGGTCGGAGCCAATTATTATTTCCTGGAACCCAGAACCCATCATGTTGAACACAATCTGGTTAACCATTGAGCTACACCAATTAGTCTAAACAAATAAACACGAATAATTAAACGAACTAAGGACTTAACTTTTTCTAATTAGGTTAAACCTATTAATAGCATTACCTTTTAAAGCCATAGTTGGCAGGAAAGCCAACGCTTGCAGCATCGAGACAAGCCAGGAGCGTTCCGACCTCATCCCGTTAACTATTCACTGATCACAACACAGAACGAGTACATCTTACGTTCATTTGTTTCACTTTATTTAGTCCTTCCGGTATTGTTTTTCATTTGTTCAACTAATAGTACCTCTTTCTCACTTTACTACAAAACAAAAAATATTCAGTCTAACTGATTTTAACATATTACAGTTTAAAAGGTGCTTAAGATTAGCAAAGACAAACGTACAATATTAAATATTTATAATTAAAAAGAAAACTGATTGAATTTAGCATTAATAATAGTCAATAATATATTCGATTTCCTTATTGAACTATATAACGGTATTATTTGGTCGATAATTAAGCGACAGATGACAAAAGTTGTAACAATCGAAACCCATTCAATCCAAAGATCTAAGACAAGCCTATCAAACAATGTTCTGGGAACGACTGATCCAATTTTGCTTCCATCATTGTCTCACTTTATTGTAGCCAATTATGCTAAGACCTCTTTGTTGAGAACCTCATTGTCGACTCCAATATTATTAATATTTATTAGTGAAATTGTTTGATTAAGGAATCCAATTTGAATATTCTATAACCGGGATATGGTTATTGAAAATTAATTATTCAATTCCATATTCAAGTTTCCTTCGAATGACTAAGCGTTAGAAAAAGGAGTGGGTGTTTATTTTTACCTGTATTTGGAGGGCACTTTAATCTACGTAACACATCAGTCAAATATAGATAAATTGTTCCGAGCATATATCGATGGAAATAGTTACGCGGATTATTTTATAGCACAAACATCGTACGCGTAGCACCGTCGCGCTTAACGCGTCCGCTCTGTAGCAGTTCTCGTAGCACACTGAGAATATCGTAGCACACTGCTACGCCAGCTACGTAACAGCATGAAAAGGTTGGTACTCCAACGTTTAAGCCTTGCGCCTTTTTCATGAATACGAGTGTCTTGTTTTCACTTCGCTGTGGTTTGTTTTAGCCTTTGTGAGTGTATCTCCTAATGGCGGAGGACTGCTTATGTCTCCATTATTCATACTTCATAAATAGAATAGTTGCAATGAGCCACGCAATATGCGAAGACATTACTATGTCTGTCAAAGGAGGCATTTATAAGTTCTTTTTCCTTGAAAATATACTCTTGTATAATACAGCTAAGTATATTATGAAATATGATAACAGGCATGGTTAAAAAACTAGATAATTTGAAATAACAACAAAATGTATATATTTTTAGTATCATTTATAAGAAACTTTGAAAAAATTATTTACAATATATAATTTACCTTAGGTCTGTAGTTTACGCGAATAGAAAGTAAATAAAAGCCGGGTATACTCGTAGTCACTTCGGGCCGTAGTTAAAATAATTTGTAATGAAGTGTAACTAATACATTTCGCGTGTTAGACCGCTAGATTTATTTAAATATATCTTACCTCGTTAGCTTGTCACTGTGAATCAAATTCTTTGGATAAAGTAATTGGAGATAAGGAGTTTCCTTGTAAGATTCAAAATAATATTTAACTGTAAGGCATACTTTTTTAAATATTACGTGCTGTTAAATTTAACTGCAAAGTGAAATCCTATTTACCCTCTGTGAGGCACAAAGTACTCACTTCTACACACTGATAAATAGTTTTTACAGACATGTAGGTAATTAGGCTTGTAAGCCCTGTCTGATCGATTTTTTTTAATACCCGGGTTTTAAATTTATGACCACTTTACGCAATGCTAGGCGTTGAATCAGTGAGCCAGGGGTTACTAAACCATTCTGCACTAATCAACAAAAATAAATGATTATGTTATATGAAGAACATTACACTTTTCGAAGTGTTTCAATACCATCATAATCACAAAATCCCTCTCCTACTTTAAGGGATTAATATATCATGTTAACATTTTATTATAACGATTAATGCGGTTTTACCATAATTTCAACACTTACTTTTAAGCTTATTACCATTTTGACCTTGCTATGAACTTAACGTTCTAAGTATTCAAGAAAATTTCGTATATTATTTAAGCCACTTTAGTTATAACACGTTATAAAAAGATTAGTTGTGAAGAAGCCGGGACGACCTAAGTGTTTTCTCACTGCTTATTACACTTAAGCAGGGGTGACAAACATTTTTACGTCACGTCTTAAGCAAAATAGCACGTCTTAATGCAACGAAAATCTAAAAAGAGTTGGCGTATTCTTTGAGAACTCCGTGGCTTAGAGACATGTTGTTTTAGCACTACACTACATACTTTCAAATTTTATCAAAGTTAATATTTAAAATACATAAATAATACTTAGTAAAGCAAGATAAATAAACTGAAACTTTAAAAAATAAACTTAACATGCTGAAAAAGCCTTATTGATAGCCATCAGAGAAAGAGTTAAGAAAGTTAAGTTAGTTTTACACTTCACTAATGACATGCAGTTACGATTGATATGCCTTCAACAAACACCATCTGTTTTTTGTGAGGAGACAAGCTTATGGTAGGTGAAATTTTGGTATTTCACATAATAACTATACACGATGCGCTGCCAATTTACTTTAGCTTTCGATTATGTTTGCTTTGGCTATGTTATTTTAGGGAGAATTACGTATTTTTTATGAAAAAAGCTATAGATAAAATGTATAGGTTACAAAGAACAGACAGATATAAAAATATGTCTGCCTCAAAGCAGGGCCTAGAAAATTCTTACTGAATGATATTTGGCTTACTGGGACGAAAACTGGTGTGTAATTACAATTTATACTACTTCTGTAACACGCTATCGTATATTGTAAGGTTTCAAGTACGAAATGAAACCGCAGAAGTTTCTTAAGAAATCGCTTTAGAGCGTGCACGTTCCAAATCATTTTATATCTTTATAGAGATAGAAATAAATGTTATTTATATGTGATGTTTTTTTCGTGTAAAAAAATGCGTTTCAACCGATTTCACTTTCTACAATGAAGCATAGGTCTCCTATCCCAACATAGATTGTAAAATAGGGACCCACCAAGCTGCTCCAATGTCAGTTCATGGGTTTTAATAAATGCAATCATTAACTAAAAGCATCTTAAGTAAAAAATTCAAATATCGAACATTTCCGATCCGGGATAACAAAAAGACCTCGTGGCCCTCAGTTGGCTGTTCTCACTAGACGAACGAAACAGGTGGTTGAAGTAAATATATCTGTTTTTAAATTTGAACCAACCGTTGGTACTAGCGAATTTTTAGAAGTTCACGTTTTATGTCACTTTAATTACCATTTTTTTTTTGTTTTGGATTGAATTTAATATAAGAAATTCTGATATACTTATTTGCTCCCTTACACTGTACGTCGAATGCCTATTCTACAAAGGTTAAAAAATAAACAATTATTTTAAGCAAAAGCAATTTGACTTCTACTAATGAAATGCATATTTCACGTAGGCTTTTAAAACACTGATTTTAAATGGAAATTTATTCATTATGAACAGCGCATCATGACGCCACACACATTTTATTGTCGTTGTCAATTAGTTTCGCAAACAAGACTATAAAAATATTATCTCAATAATGCTGTCCATATTTTATGATTTAAAACGATGCCTTGTTGCGAGTAATTTAAACGTGCTATGAATAACCTATTAATTAGTAAGGGTTTTTAATTATCTTATTACTTTTGTATGTATATTGGGACAAGTGTATTATTTTAAGTATTAGCTTTTTTTTTATTTGGGTTCAAAAGTTTACATTGAAATATAAATATACAGTATTTTCTATTGTCAAACTTTCTAATTTAGGACGTACCACGTGCGCGTCGAAAGCAAAATTGTGGCAATTATATTTTATCCAAATAACTAATCATGAATATATTTCGCATGTAGTCATAAAAATATACTTTTTTCACATAAATTAATAATTTACTTCACTTTAAAAAAAATCTACATGAACAGGACTTCCACAGCGTTTCACAACTTTAAAATTGTTTCAATCTAAAATGCCAGCATGTTGAAAATATTGAAGTCTTGAATAATTCATATATCAAGGGTCTTGTCTTCGATTTTTAACAACTATTATATTATATTTAAATTATACATCTTTAAAATCTGTACACAAAAATCGTTTGCGAGAGAGAGCGCCATACAATAAAAATATTAAATCAAATTATATAACGCAAAAGTTTATTCTTTTTTCAAATGGCGTGACTTTTTATGGCCAGTGGAAGGAACATTGTCAACACAACCTCTCTTATGGAATTATAAGTTTACGACACCAATAAAAGCGGGTACGGAAACATGAATTTTTCATCCCGCCGCTATAGACATTCGCGATTAATTATTTTACAAGCGGAATTTCACTTGTTCCCTATAAACGGGTGGGGCGTGCTATCCGACGGTTCAAACAATCATAAACGGACTTATGATTTGTTATTATCATTCAACAACTCTTTATAAATTAGATCGTTATATTATTTTAGGGGTGGTTATGCTGTCAATGCGTCGTTGACGTTGCGCGTGCGTTGACACCAATTATGCCGTAAAAAATTCACAAATGGTAAATGAAAGTGGATCAGTAACAATCTTTACACCTACAATATTTAATACTATAGATAAATGTTATATACTTTATTAGTTGCAAATAAGCGTTATTTAAAACTTTGATGGTGATGAATGATGAGCTCTAAATATTTATACCGAATGCATGTACTTATTCACAGTTTAAAAAAAACAATATAATCACCCGGTCTTAAAGCGAAATGTATTCGTTAACTAATTTACCTTTTATTTTAACTCATGGCACAGAAGCCGCAGTCATGGAAGATTAAAAATGGAGGACGTCCCTAATGTCAAAGTCAAACCTGCTACGCTAGCGCCAGCTACAAACAATACTTAAACACCTATATTTAAATATCTTATAGCCACATATATCATTAATTTGTGGAATATATTAATTGCAAAATGAAAAAATAATTTAATCTTAACAAAAACCGTAATAGCCCAAATTGTACATTAAAACAACTTGTATATCTTGTAAGCGATAGTAATAACGTAATAAATA